AACACACACACGCACATGTGTGCATATTCACGTGCATACACACATACGCATTCACCCACAAATGAGCATGTACAGAACACACACACACACACGCGCGCGCGCACATCACACACATACACACACACACACACACACACAAACACACACACACACAATGCATAGTAGATACCGTAAGGTGTTGCTAGAGTACCCTGACCACCTGGATCCATTCATGGTCATGTTTCTAAACACAAAATTGGTGAGTTGGCATGGGACCATGTGTGGCCCGAGTAGTACTAGTAGTAGTACAGTTGGGTCCCTACACATCATGATCTTAGCTCTCTATTGCAGGCACCACATGCACTCTCTTTGGCTTCACTGTTTCACTGCTCTGGCCGCCTGGAAAACAGAAATGAATTATCGTCTCCGTTCGTGAGGGACTTCACGGCGGCTGTTAACACCTGGAAAGTCTAGAAAATATAGAAAACGGGTGAAAACTGGAGTTGCTTGCTCACTTGCTAAAAGCACCATTGTGCTGCTTTTGAAGAGCGATAGGGCAAAAGGCCTCCTCAGATATATCACTGGCGTCTGTCTTATGCGTGCTGATAATCAGATTACTCAAACGTAGTACAGTTCGCATCCAAGTGTAGGATCATCTGCACCCCCCCCCCCTCTCCCCTTCTGCAGATGTCTCTGGCTAGGACCCTGGTATAGCTACACATATTGTTCAATTGAGCATACATGTATGGACATGTGTACTATACAAATTGATTTCTGGAACAAATGACAATCGGCATACACGTACTCTTCCAGGATACGCTGCTCCTTGGTGGAGATGCCCTGGTTGACGGAAATCACACCAAACTCGTGTAGAATTTCGCAAGTAACCTGCGGCGTCGGCATGGCGGTGGCGTAGAACTGCACGGTCATGCGATTGTCGAACAGCTCGGTGTTGTCGCACACTGGCGAGATCAGGCCGCTGGTCATGTAAGCCCGGGGCTCCTTCCAGCGTGGGCGTCTGCTCCCACCGGGCGAACCCGGCGCCGACAGCGGACAATCCTGCATGGCCTTGGACAGCCACATGTGCAGTGCGCGGTTCTCCGGCAAGCTGACCGCCTTTTGCTTCGGCACGTCTATCGTACCCGTGTCGATATTGATCAGAGTGACCTGCAGACAATCAAAGTCGGACAGAGAGCGCACAGATGCAGCCGATCATTAATGGCAGGGGAGGGGAGAGGTAGAATTGGAGGAGAAGCTCTTTCTGTGGCCCACTGGAGCTCAGTAACCCATGTGTAGCATGAGGAGCTGACAGTGCTCCAAGCTTTTGGAGCTGGAGTCCTGTGTTTACAACACCGCCAGTGCTCTCTTCTGAGAACCGAACGTTAACTGATTCACACACTGATACTAGTCGTAGTCAACATAAACACCGATATCCAGTACCCCCCCCCCCCCCCCGTGTGCCCAATCACCACAATGTCAATGTGAATGCATGTAAGGCGTACACGATCAGCCTTTATTCAAACAATCATGATGAGTAGTGGTGAAACGAATATACCGAATATTCGAATATTCGTTCGGTTTGTCAGATTCGAACGAATATTTCTCATGGCGAATATTCGTTAACCCGGTATGCAGAGTTTACCGGGAGACTTCAAACTTCCGTAACTTCGCGAATACTTGACTGAATCACTTCATCGAGAGGTCTATCGGCATTAGAAAACTCTCAGCTGTCGTCTCGAAGCAACTCGAACGCGATCCGAGGTCCTGGAATCGAGTTATGGCGGTCGAACGAAAATCACGTCTCAAGCTGGGTTTTTTTAGCGTGTAACATGCACTTCAGCTGGGGATTTTGTGAAAATTGACCTATAACATGATTGAGAGGAGGGCGTGTGATATCATCTGTGTTAACGAAAGAATATTCGTTCGTTCGTTCGTTAAGCCAAAGAATATTCGGCTACTGGGTTTTGATATCCGGTTCACCACTAAATTGATGAGCTAGGCATGCCCTCATGCAGGACAGCGACGGGTCCACATATCGCTCGTAATGATAGACTACAAAACAGGTGCATGCAGACCAAAGTACATACATCATCCGGCAAGTCCAGATCAGAGCGCGTTGCCACGTCCGCCGACATGAGCAGGCCCATGATGAATGGTACGGGTGCGTCCAGCAGGTCCATCTGCTGGCCAGGGAGAATTGGTGCCAGAACATGCTGCCACTCAAACGGATTGATCAGTGCGCCAAGACACTCGGACACCTCCGTCAGAGAGCTCAGGTCCTCCGACACGAGAAGAAGCTGATTCTCCAGCAGTAATAGTCTGATACAGCAAAATGAAAGAGAAAGAAGAAAACACAATCACCAGCACAGACGATGAGAAACAGATGGCATCACTTATCAGCCATGGGAGCAATTCGGACAACTCCATTTCTCCCTTCAGAAAAGACGCGGCTAACAATTTAGCACCCCGGAGACTACAATCGGTGAAAATTTGATCAACTACACCTATTACTACTACTACTACTACTACTACTACTACTACTACTACTACTACTACTACTACTACTACTACTACTACTACTACTACTACTACTACTACTGAGAACGTTGACTTTATTTGATAACAAACTGGGTGCCGGAATGAAGAATTCAAAAAACGGAAGCAAAGAAGGCAATGGTGACAAATCCAATCAAGTATATCGTAGATAGGAAAATCAAATCAAATAAATCGGAAAATCCAATAAGAAAATATAATAAAAGAATCAAGTCAACTATCGAATACCAAAACAAAGAGTAAACCCGCATCCGCAAACACAATCAAAGCAGCACCGTTTACCCAACTCATCCAACAACCCAGACAAGAGAAAACCAGATAAGGTACACAAAGAAAACGGGCAAGTCAACCATCAAATCATGACCAACATATAATAGCAAAATTGCTACAACAAAAATACAGACAATATCATGAAACAGTTAGGTCAGGCATGCTAAACAGCCAGGTGGGCACGGGCCCTACACTCCGCCACAAAACCGCCATGACCAGCACCCATGAGCCTTCGGCGGTACGAGTGCCGTGACCCCCGCAGACAAGTTATTTGCCAGCGAATCAGGCACACACTGATCCGGGCACGAAGCTGGCGCATGATCAGTGAGTAGGGGAGATCACGGTTCCTCTCACTGATTTGAGCTGCTAACGACTTCAGGAATATTGACGCCTCCGGCGCACACTGCCCATTGGTGGCGAAAACCAACGGCGTGAACGAACCGCGGTCGACGTTGTTGATCCGGCTCGAGTACTGGCGCTTCTTCTGCCTCTCGTTGTCAGACAACTGGCTCGCTACTCCCGAACGCGACAGCAAAGACGGCCTTGGGTGGGTAACCCGAACATCAAAGAAGGCGTTTTGCTGTCGCGTCCAGAAACCGCGAGCCCGTATGTCTGCACGAGCGGCATCAGCTCTAATACCTGAGACCGTCTCGCCATCGAGAGGCAGCAGAACAGGCTCCAACTCGACATCATACGCCACCTCGGACATGGCACTAGCCAGCAGGTCCCGAACCTCGTTGTGACGTTGCGTTGGGTACCCGCCACAGGGGCATGTCATGGCGTGGTGGCTTGTCATGTCTTTGCCACACACGCATGATGCTGGCAAACCTTCCAAGGGAAGGCCATATCGTAGGCCCACAGCATCACGGAAATCCGTCCTGCTGAAAACGGTCCCAGGCATTGTAGTCGCAGGTGGAGTCGTCAACCAACTTGAGACGCCATCTTCACCTGCGACCTCTACCAGTAGCCGTTGCGTGGGCGGGAGGCCGGATCGGATCTCCTCTGCCAAGTTCCGCTGCTGAACACGGCGCGCCGCCCGAGCACCTGCAGCCAATGTCTTGCATGCTGTTACCACAGACGACACCTCATGCGTGGAGGTGCCACCGACTACCAACTCCACCATGGGTGCAATGGCGTCTCGGCACAAGGTGCGCTCAGCAGCCGCCCGTGACACATTGCTACGGACCGCAAGACCACCAAGCTTTGCTGGAAGGGAAAGCAGTGCTCGCAAACCTCCCTCAACCGGCACAGAATGGCCCGTGAATGCAGGCAGCAGCTGATCATTTAGGACGCGATCCAGGGGTGCGTAGAGTGCCCCGTCAGCATTAGCAACGCGCTGCAAGTATGACCACCGAGACTGAATGGCAGAGATGAATAAATGGTAAGCCGCGTGGGGCTGGGTCTCTGCAACACTCGCCAGCCTCTTGGTTAAAGCACACCAGTCACCCACACGGCTTCCCACAAACCCATCACAGAACTCAGTGCTGCCGATGACTCCACCGAGATACCGGACGCCATCAGAGCAAATCCGGATGCCAGTGCCAGCAAATACCCGCTCAGCGTCTGACACCAGATGGCTCTTGACGAGGAGCACGGTCTTGGCAGCATTAGGCTTGTAGCCATACTTCGGGCCCTCAGCCGAGATGCAGTTCCAGTACTCACCGAGTGCCACAACGCGGTCCACAGCGGCATCGTCGTCAGCATACCACACCTGCATGGAACCACTGCATGTTGTGGACAGATGCTTGGCCAGAGGGACGGTAGCCAAAGCATAAAATGCCATGGCCAGTGGATCTCCTTGGCACGTGCCCTCTCTTGAGTAGAGTGTCTCGCCACCATCCAGGTACAGGGGGATATCCGCTTGGTACGTGTTCACAAATACCCGCCCTGCAGCTGGGCACACGCGTGGTATGTTGTTCAGTGCAGCTGCCCGGTTCACTGAATTAAAGGCGTTAGTGGCGTCGACGAGGAGTATTGCCTCTGACTCCTCCTTGGCAAATACCGATGACAGCGCCTCCACAGCCACTTCACATGCCGATGGTATCCCGACGCACAGCTGGGTTGGCGCCGTCGCAATCACCACATCCTTCTCAATCGCCGCCATGATTGCCTTGCCAACTGCACGCCGAAACACCTCACCCACAGCGATGGGCCGCACGCCAGGTCGCTTATCCAGTGGTATCAGTCGCGCTGCCAGAAACGGGCGCAGATGCAAAGCGTCCAGCCTCTCCGTGCACAGGCATTTGGCCACGCGAGAGAGGGCCGAACAGAGCTCGTCAGAAGCTGACTTGAACATGCCAACCATCCGACGCCAGGCAGCCGCATCCAAAGCCGAAGGTCCAGCAGCTCCCTTCATTCCCAATATCGTCTTCTTCATAGCTGCTGGTGTTATCGCCTCAAACATAACTGGATCCGGGGGGTCGGGGCTACAGTCCAGTAGGATGTCTGGATCAGCCGGCTGGGGAGCAGGGTGCTTATCCCGCAGGTGCTCTAGAACTGACTTCCCACTCACCTCTTCATCCAGGGGAAGAACGCCACCAGCACCATCAGCATCCAGGTATTGGGCAGCACTGCCAACTCGGTCATTGAAAACCATGTTCGCTAAGCGAACATCGTCCAAAGCACGTGGACTCGAATCACCCACGGCTGCATCAGAGAGATGAGCCTGAATGCATCGGGACTCCCGTAGCAATGGAGAGAGATCACCGGCAGTCCATAGCCCAAGCCGCTTGGCCAAAAACGTCTTGTGGTCGCTAGCCGCAGATCCACGAAACGGCTTCTGCAACAACAGATGACAGGCGACGACCACCGCCGACCACGCAAAGGCCCGAGCACCCGAGCCATCCGTAAATAAGGAAATGAGGCGTGCAATCTCCTTGACGAACTCTTTGCCTTCCGAGCCGAAGGGGACCATAAACACGTTTCTTCTCCATGAGATGACTTCACGGTATGCAGAATCGAACATGCTCACAGTCTCATCAGTAGTCTGACTCCAAAACCCTTCATCTGCAGATGAGTTACTGCCACCCTCAACCACCGTACTCGGCTCACGCGACGCTTGCTTTTCCGGACGCAGAGGGGCCAGACGAACATGCGATGGCTGATATAGCGATGCTGGTGAACAGGATGGCTCCGCCTGAGGCTGTCCAGACGAACCGGGACCCACAGAGGCCGGCGCCGCAGACACAGGTACCCGGGAAGCTGCAGTAGGATCAGAAGAAGCACCCGCGGATGAAGAGGCGGCAGCATAATCAGAAACAGTCTCCGAGCACACAGGAACAGGCAAATCCACCCGCAGCGACTTCACAGACGGAGCCGCAGGCGCAGATAAATACGATTGGGAAGATCCTGTGAATCCAGGCGCCGGTGCTACACCAGAGCATGCAGCGGCCGACGACGGGGGCCTGGATACCGAAGTATTCCGTACCTCTCGAGGCACGTCACCGGTCCGGCCAGCAGCGGAATCACCCGGTCGAGAAGGCTGCACTCTTCGTCCACTCCAGGCCGGCGGATCACCTGCAGAAAGGCCTTGAGGCACCTCCGATCCACCAACATCATGCAAATTCAAATTCCCAAAATTCCTACAGCGCCCAATCTGACCTGGGTAACAATTGACACAGCAGCGTCCATTCCTATTGCATGAACATGCTCCGCACGTACCACTTTTCTTGCTGCAGGAGCAACAGGGCCCAGCAGAAGCCTCACGCCGTGACATGTCATGCAGCCTGCAGCACTGCCAGAAGAAGCCGCACAGCGACGCGAGGTGTGAACAGCACCTCGCACGTCACTCGTGACAGACCATGCGGGAAAGCACCCAGCCGCGAAGCACAACACAGCAAGCCAGCTCACGTCACTTCCAAGGCCCAAGGCGAAGGCACGGAAAGCGACCCGAAACTACAGCACAATGGCCGGTTCGCCAGGTAAAACAAAACCAGCTGGAAGGAGGAATAGCGGACTGGACAACCCCACAGCGGTAAAAACTACTGGAGCCGACTCCTGATACCTAGACGAAAGTAATGAAGTAGGTTTAAAAAACCGGTTGACCTGGATAGTGGATACAACAATTAGAAAACTGCGGAGGAAACTGCGGAGGAGCAAAATCTCCATCCGCACTCCACTACCACTACCACTACCACTACCACTACCACTACCACTACCACTACCACTACCACTACCACTACCACTACCACTACCACTACCACTACCACTACCACTACCACTACCACTACCACTACCACTACCACTACCACTACCACTACCACTACCACTACCACTACCACTACCACTACCACTACCACTACCACTACCACTACCACTACCACTACCACTACCACTACCACTACCACTACTACTACTACTACTACTACTACTACTACTACTACTACTACTACTACTACTACTACTACTACTACTACTACTACTACTACTACTACTACCAAGAGTACATAACCCCCCAGAGTGTGCAACTCCACTATGGGTGCTGTCCCGACAGAATTTCAAGTTGACGTCATTTTGATGATGCAATGCGCACTGTACACGGATTATCAGACGAATCCGGAACCTGTGGTTGACCGAAGCCGATCGATCCTGTACAAATTATTGCAAAGAAAAACGTGTGATGCGTTGACACCCGTACACATGTTGTAAATCACTGCTGCAAGGAGCATTGCGTCATAAATAATGACGTCAACTTGAAATTCTGTCGGGACAACAGGGTATGTGGGAGTTGCACACTCTGGGGGGTTATGTACTCTTGCTACTACTTACGCCACAATGCTCAGAAGGTCGGCCAATGAGAAGATGCTCATCACGCGCTGCAGGTGGAAGTTGAGCAGTGGGATCCCAGATTCGTGAGATCGAATGCAGTGCATGGGTGCGATGGGCCCCTGCAGAGTGACCGCGTATCCCGGCTGCACCTGCTTCAGGTCGAGCAGATGGTGAATGTGACTCTCGACGAGCTGGGTGCCTGCAA